TGATATCCCCCCCCCCCCCCACAAATCTCCACAAAAATAGACTTTCTTCTTGCTTCTCGGCCCACCCGGCCGACTCAGTGTACTAACCTTCATTTCAGGTCCTCCCGTCGAGGTGGGCGTCACCATGTACGTCTTGAGCATCAGCTCGCTATCCGAAGTCAAAATGGTACTATATAGGTCTTATCAGTCATTCCGCTGAATCAGTAATCATTCCGATCGTTAACCCTTACCCAAGCAACCATTTAGCGCCCATTAACGATTGCCGCTAATCTTCACACACTTATTCTTTAGACGATAATATATATCTGCGGGCTACTTTCTTAATGACCTGTGGAACACTTGTTAATACGAAGTCTCATTAGTCATGTAATCGCACCTGTTAACTTTTATAAGAATTTCGTACTACGGCATCGCGATTACATTTGGTACGAGACTATTGAGGAAATTCTTTTTTTTTAATACTGAAAATTCGTTCCAAGTTTTCTACAATTTTCTTTAGGTGCACTCGAATTCATTTTAAACGCTGATAATTACACCTTGGTTAACACAGTACCCAGAAACGCTTTCACGTTCAGGAAAATTGGCCTCTAGGGATACCTTCCGTGGAAGCTATACTAATTGGATAGGACACGGATAGCTATAAAATTGGTTCCTCATCAAATCTTCTCCATCCCGCAACACTTTTTTAGTAGATCCATCTGGACGTTGATTGATAATACGAGTCTCTGATTAATGGAAGTATAATTATCCCTAAATTATATAACTATTTTTAATTAATTTCATATCATCAGCATAATACAGAAAAATATATCACTTATAATAAAATTCAATATTTACATTAAATGTATACTACGAATATCTCGTGAAATGAGGATTCCACGTGTCATATGAAATAGCCCGTGGGCCATGTTACTTGCGACTTCGTGATGCAAAAACAAAAGAAAGAATTAAATAATCTGCCAGCTGTTCTTACACACACTTTTTCTCGTACAAGCGCAGTCTGTGATTGATCGAAGGAGCGAAGAATCCTCGCCCTAAATATTCTAGATTCGCAAGTATGCAAGTCAAAGATAAAAATATAAAGTAAGCACAGTTGCGTACGCAAGGAATAGAAGAGGAAAGAAAACGTAATTTAAAGTAAACTAGAAAAAAAAGTCCACATTTTTCAAATCGATCACACATTATTGAAAATCACAGTCGTAAATTAAGCTCGGATGTTTCCACTTCGCAATCACAGAGTCCGCCACGATTGAGCCCCGCATGACGAATTAATTAATTCTGTAAAGAGATCATGATCTATATTCTCCGAATCTGAAATCACACGGCACAAAAGTAGCTGGATTACGTGTGTCCTACCTGAGGCCCCTTTACACTGTCCTCGGATCATCTCGAAAGGTTGTTCTGTTTTTGTGGTGCGTCCATTAGTGCGTTAGAGGGTGTGTGGTTAGCCACCGCATGCAATTTACTAATAAACTATATAATATATATACTTATGTAAGTCATAACCACGGGCATTACATGCACATTATATATATGTATATCCCTGTACATATATAGCATCGGGACAATTATCAATCCATCTCAACGCGTAATCTCGATCCTCGATCGATCCTTATCGATCAGGATGGAGACTTAGCGAAACACGAATGACACCGTCCAACCTACATAGTTTCAAATACATTTTTCTCCCTTTGTCACGGCTATAATTCTCTCGCAAAATGGCCGCGGTCGTAGATCCACGTGAACTTGGTTGTCACGATCTGAACCCACATGCGTATACATGACAGACGGCACTTTTGCACGCATCTTCGTGAAGCTGTCTGCGAAAGTATATACGAATATTAAAGCCGGAAAGATGATATGTACCTTTTTTTATATAGTTACGTAAGAGTAAAATAAAAAAAAAAGTATATGTAACACACACAGATTTCTACGTTTGTTACTAAGAAGCGACAAAAAAACATTGCATCGATATTCCACAATTATTGATACGCATGTGGTTTTTCGTAGGATCATTCTATTGGACTGATTAGCGACTTAGTTTCTTTGTTTATCTCAAAATACGAAATACATTATATTATACATATACCACACATCCCGTTAGACGCTAGCTACTATGCTGCGGCTGCTGAGATGGGCTGCTCGCTGCCATCACTGATAATCTTTCTTGTTCCAACATTCGCAATCGCGTCCTTATCTACGTCGAGTAACGACGACGATACGTAAAGCGCGATTATTTGATAATTATCAATAATCCTTCCGTGACCGTCGACCACGACCCTCGCAACATGTACAGCAAGAGCAATGAAAACGATGCACTGTGCGTGGGGAAGGTAAACGATCTTTAAGCGGTTGGATAAAAAAAATTATAACTGTGCGTTGGAGAGCAAAATTATACTCGGACGAGAAATCAAATTCAACGAGTGTGAAGTAGCTGATAGTTAAGAATGTGGACGGACAGTCGGAAACGAAGGGAAGACAAGATAACAAGAGACGGAAATTGAGACGGCTTTTTAAATGACAAACGAACAAGAGACTATGAGGATATATAGATATATCGTGCGAGTCTAACCCTAGTAGAAATCTAATCCAGGGAGTATCTAGTGCCTTTAATGTTTATCCAGATTCAATAAAGGCGCTTTAAGGACATAGTCAGAACACTATCAAGTGCTGTGGAATTTTTCTTTCTATAGACTCGATTCCTGCCAGCGCTTCTTAGTACCCAAACTGTCGACGTCGAGTAAATGTGACTTATTTCATTTTACGTTGAACCCAAAAATTATAATTAGATTTATTGAAACACTCGTACGCTGCCGATATATTATTGTTGCACGTTGAATAATTTATGCCCTTGATTATTTTACACCCCTTACTTTTAAATAAAGGCTTCTGTCAGGAGTCACCACTTGGTTATGTCATTTTCAGTTTCAAATCTAGATTCGTACGAGTTTCAGTCACAAGATGACGGATGACGGGATTCCGGGCGATCCCTCGATTCTGCCTTTAAAACGCCTTGGTTTGATCAAGAGAACTTCTAGGCAATTTTAACTATTTAGTTAGTCGCTGAATACAGCTTTCTGAAAGCGAAACCCGCAAATACAGAATTTCAATAGTCCTAAGGTAAAAACGTCACAATGATAACGTGACTCTTATCGAAAATGTGGATTTTTCTAGCTTGGAAAGCAACGAGGCCGACGAGTCCTGTTGATTTGGTTCCGTGCAGGGTGTGAGCTCTCTTCGACAAAACGTGAGACTTTGCCTCTGGCCAATGTCCATATAAAGTACTTGCGGGACGAGGAGAGTCCAATAATTAAATATAATAATAATGATAATTAAATGGATTCTCGTCGTTCCTCGCGCGGTACCACAGTTATTCAATAGCCTCGAAGGAAGCTTTACATGCGAATACCGAAAACAGTGGGAACGATGAGGAACATCGCGCTCTGAGGGGCAGAGGCAAAGATGACCTCAGTTAAATGGAAAATAATTGGAGATCAGAACGACCAAGGCGCTTGGTTTTGTTGATTGCAGGTCCGCCCGTGGAGGTCGGCGTCACCATGTATGTCCTCAGCATCAGCTCCGTGTCCGAAGTGATGATGGTACAGTGCCTTATTCATAAAATTCACATCGACACACTCTTGTCTCACCTATGACCCAAGAACCTACTCCACGAGTGCATTTTTATTTCTCTTATAAATTTTTTGATTACGTTTCTATCCTATTTCGAAAAAAAAATCCTTGTACAACCTTTCCTCGAGAGGTGCGTAGCGTATAAGGGTACGTCATCTGGTGATCTTTCGATATCTCCCTATTCTTCTGGGAGCGGTTATCGGTGATGTTGAAAAAAAATGGATTTTCCTATAAAGAACACCGTCTTCAATTTTTAAAAAATTAAATAAAAGTAATGTTTTCGTTTCCAAGGTAAAAGTCGATTTTTATCGGACTCGTTTGTTACCTCGAATCCATCTTGTCCTGCAGCTGGCAATTCTCTTAGAAATTTAGTGTGATCCCTCTTCTTAGAGCTCACATTTAGCCCGTTCTGACGATCCCTGGGCAACATCATCGGATGGCCCATCAACTCATTCAACCGCGCCCCGTCGATCGACCTCACCCTCTGGTTCCGTCTGACAGAAGATGATCCTTTCTTTTTTTCCGCCTACCTTTACTTCATCTTTAAGCTGCGTCTGTCTCACTCACTCTCACTCTCCCTCTCTCTCTCTCTCTCTCTCTCTCTCTCTCTCTCTCTCTCTCTCTCTCTCTCTCTCTCTCTCTCTCTGTCTCTTTTAGACATTCTCAGACAGCCCTTTACTTCCCACCCTCTGACCTCTCTCGGGTACCCCATCCTTTACCGAGACCCTTCTTATCCACCACCGCGTAGCGAAGTGACTTCGTTTTACGTCGAAAATTGACAATTAATTAATAACCGTGATAATTTCGAGAGCCAAATTCTACCAAGCTTCCAGTAATTGTAATCTCCTCCTGGCAGCCCTCTTAATAAATAGCAGGTCGTTCATTCTCCCAGGAAGCTTTAAGAATCCAGCACCAGGTCCACCTGCTTCACGGTATCTTGGGCTTCCGCTCGATATACTTCCAAAGCGCGTAGTTACCTCTTGCTTCTGGTTCCTAGAGAAGGACTTTAAAAACAACCATGATTTTAGTCAACTCACGCGACATTGCCAGTCCGCAATCTCTTCTTTTTCTCGGTATTTCGCTTCGTCTCTTCCTTTTTTTACTTCGTTCCCCCGGCGTCGACAAATAAGTAAATACGATTTGAGATGCGGCTTCATGCCAGTTCCTCCGTATCAGGATATTCCTCCGTGTCGTATCCGCCAAGACTGTTCCATCCCTCTTTCTCCTTGGCGATTCTACGATGGATTCGCTTTATTTTCCACGTCATCTATATTCTTCCACTTGGGAAAAGAAAACAACGCTCGTACCTCTCCCGAACGAATCCCATCTTACCAACCTGCGCCAATTGTACTTCATCTTACCAGAAGCAGGAATCCCATCACAGCGTCTTGATCCCATGGACCATTCGGTTGGTCAGTCCCATATATCCACATTCAGTTTGTCGTCTGTGATCGTGCATTTGGTATACTTTCACACGTCTGTTTCGATATCGAGCCATCTTCTCCATGTCCTAGATCTTATCCTTCGTGATCCTCGACTTGAGGAGCAGGTCGCATCATTCGTACCAACGAGTAAGACAAAGATAACGTTCAATGCTTCATTCACCCGACAACCATTCCAATACCGTGTTGGTCATCCGTATATTGGAACTCTATCTTTTTCCTACTCACACAAAATTGTTCAGGATAATCAGGACAATCGGTAATTCAGCTGCGACCTGCTCGCAGTAAGGTACCACGATATACAGGGTGTTCGTTATGAAACGCACTGTAGTAACACCGTTACATTCCTTTTCAAATTCTAATGAATACGTGTATTTTGATTTTTTATTTCATATATCAAAATTTCGAGATAATCAAGGTTGAAGTTGCAGTAATGCGACCAATCAGAGCGCGTTTAAACGGAGCGTAGATGACGTCGCGAGCCAGCCCGCAAGGCCTGCTTACACTAGGCCAATAACACTAAGAGTATCGTCTCTTGTATCTTACTCAATTACATACAGATAAACAGGGACACAACGACGATACTCTTAGTGTTATTGGCCTAGTGTAAGCAGGCCTTGCGGGCTGGCTCGCGACGTCATCTACGCTCCGTTTAAACGCGCTCTGATTGGTCGCATTACTGCAACTTCAACCTTGATTATCTCGAAATTTTGATATATGAAATAAAAAATCAAAATACACGTATTCATTAGAATTTGAAAAGGAATGTAACGGTGTTACTACAGTGCGTTTCATAACGAACACCCTGTATATCTTCGTGTATGTTGGCAGAATAAAAATACACTGGCGGCCTACTAACTATGTTTTTAGCTCGTCACAGCTGTTTGGTTGGCTGAACTGTTACAAGGGAACCTTGCTACGTTCCGCAGTCTTCGCAAGATCTTGTCTACTCATTATGATTGACTCGTTTGACAATTGCGATGTTCTGTTGCATGGCCCAACCCGTGAAGTTCGTGCCGTGACGTTCAAGTAATCGAAAAAAATCGGCATTTTATATATATATCTTTTTATCACTTTACACGTGTAAATTCAACGATCAATGTCGCGCCTTATTTTTTCGAAAGACTTTATCTCTGGCAAAAATTTTATCAAAATCGTTAAATCGGTCCTCCCTGTAATCGAACAATTAACGTAAAACCGATTTTAATCCATCGCGTAATCCTAGCACGGACAATTGAATAGCCATGGCCATTGTTCGATCGTTACGTGTTACCGAGCGTTTGCGAGTCCCACTTCTTTTTTGGTCGCCACTAAGTGTGCCGATCGACATTCGATCAATTTTCACGTTGTAAAGTATCTTCGTCGATACGCAATCAAATGTACCGTCTGATGCGACATGATTTTCGGTGAAAATTTTTGACACGTCTATTAAATGCCGGAAGAATTTTTCTTGACAGGATGAAACTAATACAGAGGAATATAAAAATTGTTTGACTGTAGAACCGGTGTAATATCTTACCACGAAGAAATGTCATCCTCTCGTTTAAATCTCATTGCTTACGGTATTAAACAAGCACCGAAAATGATGGCGAGGTACTTTGTGCTTCGACGAAGGGAAAATTGAAAGGAAACAGCAAAAGAACAAGAGCTATACGGGAACTATACTTAATATTTATACCTGGCACAGGTCACGGGACGAACTCCGCAGGCCACGAGAGATATACATATATACCATGATACATATTCATTCTTTTAACATTTAAGATAGTATTAATATTGTGTATTATTATATATATATATATTCCTGTAGTAATCGACTATCGTTCCGGTTTGTACATTCAGATTCAAGAACGCGTACGCGTGTAACGCGAAAAAACGGTAGTATGAAATTGTCGAAAATTCATTTTAAAAAATGCCAAAAAACAATCGGCGAAGATTTTTTGGATACAATTTTGAGAAACAAAAAAAATTGTATTTGTATAAAACAAACAAAATTAAAAGTGGCAATAATTGATTATTGAACTCCTTCGTAATTAGCATACGAGAACTTAGAACTCGAACAAGGATTGAACAATTTTTTCAATAGTAGGTTCATTGTTACAAAAATATTTTGTATCCCTATATGGGTTATGTGTAATGTCTACGTGTACGTATGTGCCTTTTATTGCATTTATTGGAGCTGAATGTACGAGACTGGACCCCAGGTGTTGAGCCCTGTGCGGAAACCAAATCAAGTCGACACTGTCACCTGGGACGTGACTCGCGATTTAGCCCCATCTTCACACCTCTTCGATCGGTCCCAATTCCCAATTTCCCGGGATCCCGTGTACGTAAAACACGTGTATCTCCCTCGCGTTCAAAATCCCGTGCATATCCACGGCCAACAAGACAAATAAATTTCTTCGAAATTATTATTCGCTGATCCCTCTCTCTCTCTCTCTCTCTCTTTCTCTCTCTTTTCAATACAGTGTATAGTAATACAGCGAGGTTCCTCTTATATTCGCGACAAGATCAAGTACCTTCCATGAACATATATATACATATATGTATTAACATGGACTATTATATCAAACAGTTAATCGATTCTACAGCGACTTATTTAATGACGATAATTAACCCCGCGAATCAATCAACAAATGCTTACTACGCGAACTGAGAGAATTCGCGAAATCTTCGTCACGAAGATGCCTCCTATTAACCTTGTGCCTCGCGTCGCGTGCTAAGCATACCTACTCGTTGAGAAGAACTGATAGGATACGAATAAAAAACAAACGTATTGATAATGACACACGAAGTAAAATATATAAAAAACAGTGTAGTCATCTAACGACGTCACTGTTATATATTAACGATGGAGAACTTTGTATCAGCAGGGTAAATAAGTGTAAAGTACGAGGTTGAGTTTCATGCGAAGGCCCGGCAGATGGCGGGAGTGGCGCGTCGATCTTGCAGCCACTTTGCGAAGGATACCAAGAAGGCCTCGACGTGTGGTATACGGTGAAGAATTTGTACGGAGAAAATTGTGTCAGAAATGTATTACCAGCAATTCCTCGTTATTCGATGATACATATAGAGATAATCACGCATGTGGACATAGAGACGAAAATGGGACAGGAGTATCTTTTTAATAAAAAAAAAATGCTTAACGCGTCCAACAATGCCTGAAAGGCCATACACAGATTTTAGAATGGTTGTGGATAGGTCCGGATGTTTGTACCGAACTCTAGGAACAGGCTCTCGAAAAGGCAAATACGCAATGTCAGTCTGCGACGACGGGTCGTTTGTTGGTCGTGGATCGCGTGCGAGAACCCAAAGTGATATCGCTGAAAAAAAAAAAAAGAGAAAATGCGTGAAAACGAAATATATACGTACATACATATACATTATACATACATATATACATATATATATATCACATAACGATATGAAATACGCATAGTAAAACACGGGACCTCCGAGGATATCTAATCGTAAACACTCGGTACGACGAAAAAAAAAAAAAAAGAAATACGAAACAGCGTAAACGAAACAGAAAAATCTCTATTTACCATCTCTTTCCGTGTTTCTCGCAAAAGTTTGCGAGAGGTCCATGTCAATTCTCTAAACCATTGTCAGTGTGTGTGCAGTGCCGCTTTTGGTCGCTGCTGGCTCATGTGTGTGCTGCTTATTATTGCGAATGAGACGCGACTGCGACGCGTCGCCTGCGTCCTGCATTCGAAACACGTCTTTGGGTTTCTTGGTTCGCGCGTGCGCAGATCGTCATTTCTAAAAGCTTCAGCGTCGAGCCGTCCTTTTAAACGTATTCCACGTATATTCTGTACGTACGTTGCACGTATTACGCAGGATATTTCGTTGAAACGGGATGAAATAATAATTCGCACGAGAAACGACGATAGGCTCCCACGAATCCAAATGTGTTTCGCAATTCGTTAGGCATTCCACTTCGTCTGCTATTTTGTACCTATATATTTATATATATTAATATATATATACACATATTCATGATGTCGTTGTAAGCTCTAATTGCCTGTTCGCTTCAGTGCCTGAATCGCTTGCCTGTAAACGCTTCGAGCATGCTTGCATATTCTCTATGCATATTAGGTCTATATATGTATATTATATACCGTATACACATGTCTCGCCTATCCTTTCACGATCGTCATTATCCAAACGTAAATTAATTTCATATCGAGAAACTATCGATCACATGCATATTCAAGGTTCATAGCTATATGCGAGCGCTGCAAAGTTACAGAAATTCTTTTAAGGAATTTTCAGATTAAAAAATTTCTAATTTATCCTCGATATCGAAACTTTTGTTATCGTGTTCTAGAAACGTTATTCGCAAATAAAAGTGTCTAATGACTAATGCGAAAATATATATATCTGCGTGATAGTTATTTTTAGACAATCTTTTGACATTGTCTGAAAATCATTGGCGTTTGCTCGGCAAATCTTTTTCGAGTCCTTGAACTCGCTGGTAGCACGTGTGTGTTCCTAGTACAACAGGACACGGGATAATCAATAGCGACAGTCACCCAGTGCTATTGGAGAAGATATGCCTGCTGTGACGTAGCATGTACATATCGAGTACCTATATGAAGCTGTGATAAACACATAATGATAGTTAAAAGGAAATTGGTAGGTATATACATTAAGGGCGAGACAGAGAGCCAAAGTGGTGTAACATTTCTATAAGCTTTTTTTGACTCAATGAATCTGGCTTTTCCGGAAAAAAAAAAAAAGATGACCCGTATCCATGACAATAGGCAATAGGAGAAGATGTGATATATTTATTTTCTTTCTTTATTCTCCCTTCACATTCTTCTCGTGCGATATGGATATTATTTTTAGTACATATATTCCACGTGTCACTTTCAGCATTTACTTGAGCTCCTCCTCACTTTCGTTTCCCTCTGGACATTTACTGTCTCGCAAATCCGTCCCTTTAATTCCGTAGTTACGGTAAATGCGAGAAACATTTCGGAATTTTTGCACGGACCTGCGACCCAACTCTCTTTGGCCTCTTTGCGTATTTATAGAATATTAGTTACTCAAGTTGCGCGGTTCTTTCGTACCCCTTTTGTATTCCGTCTTCCGTCAGTACGAAGAATATGCGCATTCTCAATATATCCATTCTCCTGATCCCAAGAATGAGGGTTGGAAAAGAAAGTGCTATACTCTCGTGACATTTCTTTTTTTGCCCTCTTTTTCACTCTTTTAGATCAACTGCTTTCTCGACGCTGCCTTTTTTCTCATATTTTTTTTTTTCTCTTGAGAAAGGAAATAGCGCTGATCGTCCGTTCAGCCATTTTCCACGTGAGAAGAAATCGAATACTGAAAACCAGCAGGTGAATGCCTCTCTTCTCTAGAACTCTCGCTCTCTCTCTTTTTTAATCTTTATCTATCCAGGGTATAAATGAAAAGCTATTCTCTCTCTCTCTCTCTCTCGCTCTCTCTCTCTTTTAGTATCTGGTTTGTAGATCGGTAAACCCGATGAACTAGTTAAGTTCAAGAGGAGTCCATTACGTGAAAGCGGAAATTTGAACCGACGTATCATCTCAGCTCTGCCAACCGTGCAAGAACTCAGTGAACTCATCGATTCACCGATTTCGCATACGTTACCCAAACGATCGGAAACGGATCCCGGATTGATGCTATCCTGGCGTTTATCGGGATTATAGCACTCTGGTAATAAATAGGTAAACAAATCCTTTCTATTTTATCTGAAATTTCAAAATTTTATTTAAATAGTGCTATAGTTCGGTAAAACCTACTATACATGTATATATATATATATATATATAATTTAAGCGTTCTAATAATTAAAAAAAATGGATGATTAAAATAAAAACCGTTTCCATGGAAACAGTCGTCGACATTTAGTACCATATTCAAATGCACCAAGATTTCTGTCAGCACCAGGACCCCGACTTTTTCAACGATGATTCCCAACGTAGACGAAAATTCAGAATAATTTTCCAGTAGCAATGCGCCGAGCCCTATGTTGATAGTACTTTAGCGTACTTCAAGGCTTTAGGGTGTCAGCCATAAGACATGGCAGGGCCGCAGTGCGCCTGGAGTGTCGCCAAAGGGGCCACCGGCACCAAACCAGATCATGGAACCAGCATCCAAAACCAGCCGACAACATCCGGCCAAGAGTTATCGCGTGGCCACGCTCGGTGCAAACGTTTTATTTCTCTAGGAGGACACTCGGAGTCGCTTACTACCAAAAATATACCTTTGGTTCGTCCATGCGGGATTTCGACGAGCGACGATTTTAAAAAGTACGAAGAGAGAAAACCGATTGCTTGCAGCGAAGTTAGCGTCATCTTCGTCGCACCCGACTTCCTCACTTTTTATCTTCTATGAACCGGAAGGTACTCTCTTTGAACGTGGACTGGACTTTTCTGACGCTTTTATTTTCAGGCGCCAGTTGAGTGCAAGTCCTTCCTATCCAAGAATGTCCTTTAGAGGATCCTCGCGTCTGGTATTGCTGGGCTATGAAAGACGTTCAATGGAGAGAAAACCAATGGCTACTGGTGCTATTTGAAAATATTTCCGAGATCAGCCAATCCTCTCCAGTAATCATTTAAGACTTCGAGAAGACATACCTTTCGATCTCGAGATTAAATTTATTTTTTCATATTTCTATATGTCACGGGGTGGGTAGCTGTAAATTATTTCGGAAATTGTCTGCACAATTTTTACTCCCTGTACGTATAACGGACACGTGAGATTCTCTATCGGCCAATGAAAGGGACTCGAATCTGCGGCGGTACGAAAGCAACGAATGGCCAAGTCGTGTTACAGTTACCTACTGAAAGGTAATTCATGACGTAACATTTATACGAAACGTGACTGGATTGCCGAATTCAATGATATTTTACTGGATATAGCATGTGTATCTACTTGCTATCATATGGCGGATTTATCAAGTACCTCTTGGTATTAGGTAAAAGTGGGTTGTTTACCGTGAAAGGGTCGGAAGAGGTTATGTATTGTGTGTCGAATAAACTTCCTGTTAAACTAAATATTCCTGAACTCGACTTCCGAGCAGTGGCTACTTTGCCGCAAGTTATTCCCGTTCGAGAGCCACCGGATATTTCAGTTTCCGACGAAGCCGCCTGGGCAAACATCGATTAACGGGAGAAGGCTTAGTCGGTCCAATGATTAAAATTAATTAATATTGAATTGATTGACTTTCCGGGGATGTAACATCGTGACATTAAATTAAAATACATTTTAACATTGATTTTCCTATCGTACGTGTACAATACCTATATGGACTATATACTGTGACACGTATAGCGAACTACCGTCGTTCTTTGAAGGATCCGTTTTGTTCTCGGTGAGAAAAGTAATTTCATTTCTGCTTTTCCAGAGTACTGAAATAGTGCTGATTTAAAAAAAAAAACAAGATGCGTCCCCTGTGCACGTGAGGTTGGATAAGATTTTTATTCCAAGGAATAAGAAAAAACTTCATCATCCCTTTAGCTAACGTTACGCTATACATATCTAACCCCAGCTATGTATAGTTCAGCTGACCTATTAAAGACAGCCGACCCAGAAAGTATTTCCAAGAACAAATTTCATTCGAAGTCAAAGACTTTCGAGAACAGTTTTCTTGAGTAAATGGTGACTCTACTTCACTGTGGATTATAGGGGAGGTTTGAGAATGGAATTATTTTTTACTACTTCTGCGAACAAGAAATATCCTCGATATATATATCCTCTTTCGTCATTGGTAACGTGCAACCCTTTTTACACAATTAAATTTTACGTTTCAAAATAGAACACGAAATAGAAGGTCAGATTTAAATCGGCATGTCTGAGCATAAATTACAAGCCCAGTTACCGATCATCGTATTGCGTGTCACTGGAACATTGGTACTGATACGAACAAGATATCAAAACTCCATAGTTACTTATATCATCCATTAACAATTCTGCAGTAACGTTGAACGCGACAGATCCTCATAAATTAAAGATCAATAGGATAATAAAATTGCCCTTAGACAATTCCCTAAGGAAAATAACATCCATAAAGCACTGGGTCGATCTAAATTTTATTGTGCCTCGTCAAAACTCCGTTTCTACCCTAAAAAATACTTGGGGAAAAAAAAATAAGAAAAAAAAAACGAAGAAAACGAAAATATAAAGAAATATTATCATGCTACCGACCTAATAAATTTCAGAACTATATTTTCTCTTGTTCCAAGAGAAGTCGCTCGTTGCACAAATAAACATTTGTATCCCGAAAATTGCACTCGCTTAATAAAATGGCTGAAAGACTCGACTGATTCAAGTTGAAAAATGAAATGTAAAACGGTACAATATTCCAGCACTAGCCTCAAGCAGCTTCTGGCGATGAGCTTCAAGTTTTAACCGCGCCAAGTCGTCGTCATTTCTATGAAAATAGTTAAGAAGGAAACGCTTCAAGCGACAGTCAGATTCTCCTTTCAAGATAGAAATCGACAAGAGGACTCGTACTTGCCGTAGAGGTCTTTCGCTTAATAAAAAGCCAACACGTATATTATTCAAATAAATTCGACCTACTATTATATCTCTCCATCAAAGTTAGGTAGTGATGATCTTTTTTTTTTCACTAAAAAAATTCCAATTGGTTCGCCACTGGCAGCGACCTTCGTCTGTAATTTACATTCAATTAATTTACATCGATAAGTGACACACGTACCAACCTACGTACGTATATACGGACTTCACGATAGATACATGCACAAGATACCGAATATAGGCCAACGAGACTGATGTAGATCGGCTCTAGAGATTTGGCCCGAATGGCATTTTATTGACTTGGATAGTAGATTCAAGTAAACGATTTCGAAAAAAATTATTCGCCAGACGTGTCCGTCAGACCAATACAGTATCAACTTCGTGTAAGTTTGTTACCAGCTAGATATATAGTGCAATGAGCAAATATTTAATTTTCACTAGGATGCAGTAGAAATGTCGATACTATGGCACCGAGCATTTTTTTGTGCGATAAATGTATTTTCTCTCTCCCTCTCTCTGTTTACATCGGCATATAACAGGTAATGTCTTCCGTGGTAATATAATGATAAAAAAAAAGCGCAATCTTGAAACTGTAAATTATCGGAAAGTATAAGGCGAGGCATCGAAAGTTTAAATGCATGGCATCTCGTGCATGAGTCTCTATATTATGGATACATGGTCTGGAAATGCATGCTGCATGAATATCTAGTTAAACTACCTCACTAGAAACGATCATCCATTAATACCCTTTCGTGTACACTGACCCTTCGATCCTTATTACGTTTCCTTTACAATGTCATCTATGCGCCTCGTGCGACTATTCGCACAAAATTTGTTTAAAACAATCATCCGACTAAAATTATTGTTAATTTATTATTACATATCGACTCTTTAATGAAAACACAGCTGCATCCAGTGATTATATTAAATTCTAATATTTCCTTTTGAATGTATTAGCGAAATTCATCGGAAGTGCACAATAGTTCGTTTCGTATAATAAATTTCCCATAAAATTGTTACTAGGATATTCTTGAAAAAATGTTACTAGATTCTGCAAACAGCGAATGCATTCGTTCCAAAGGCATTAGGAAGCTCAATAGACGACTGGCGGAGTAAAGATCGGCTCTAAAACTATCCGAAGCAGCGATAAAGATGCTCATAAAAATTAGTATCGGGTCGGTTAAGCGTTCGAGATCGTTTGGGTCAACGGGCGTTACTTTTCCTTATGGAGGTCAAGTAGGAAGGAATTACCCATAGATTCTGTCCATGAAGTAGCTGATTTAACGGGGAAATGCTTACTCTTTTCATTACTTCGCTAAAAAGGTGCACACGGCCACCGACAGGTAGGTTCGCCCGTTAGCCGGGATAGGGAGGTTCAGTAACTACTACCCAGGTCACGTGAGTATCTTGACTATCGTTCCACCGGCATACCTGATAATGGTGCATGGCAGCCAACCCGGAACGATGCCTGGAATACCATATATATATATATATATATATATATATATATCTGACCAGGGTAAATATACTGTACCTATAACATAGACGGTCGATGCCGTAGAGGAAAATCTAAAAAGATTCCCGGGTCAATGAGATAATTCAATTTATATATTTTATGTGCCCTTTCAACATTCTTGCTATTTCAATTTTGTCCTCTGCTAATAAAAGTTCAAGTATTTTCATTAAAAATATTGTTAACATTTATTCACCCGCTAGTACCGAAATTACAGCGGAAAGTTAGTTTTTTTCATATAGTTTAGAGAGGTAACCTGAATTTATAAACGATTTCGAATTTGTTTGAACTCGTTGAGTGTTGTGCATTTTATTTTTTGTATATTTTTTTCCACAGTGGAATTCATACACTCTGAGGTATTATTGTTCGAGTTTAAATTAAATTTATAAATTTTATCATTTGCGGAAGCAATTTTTTTATTGCAACATTTTTAGAGCTCGAATGCATTTTTAGTAACGAGAGGAGCATTATGCTTACTCCTTTCAGATTCAAAAGTATGTTTATGGTGAATTAATTTTCATATATTCGTGACTGACTGTTGAAAAGGTTGTACAGTTTATGCATTTCCGATGAAATTTAATTTAAAAAAAAAACTATAATTTGTACGAAGTTGTATAGTAATTTTTTCAATGGAACAAGTGTAATAAACACGATGCACTGGATGCACTTTCATTAAGGTACAATAAAAATATTATATATTCCATAATCACATGAGACACTAGAAATTATATAAAAATTAATTTAATAATAAACACAAGGGCCAATTTTACTCTGCAACCTCATTAAACCTCTTAATTAATTTCTTATCAACCATTTGACATATATTCGTAGAATCCATGCTATCATCCCGTGCCAATTTCATACAACTTGTTTTCGCAGAGGCAACGGCATTCCGCATTTGATTCTTACCGTTCGTTTTGGAAAAGCTTCTCGACGTATATCTACTATCGTTTAAAGAATTCATACGACAATTCCCTATCGCATTAATACGAATGACCGTGTCAAGTGGTTGCCTTAGATCTTTATACTCAAAGAAATTCCATTATCAAGAATAAATCATGTATTCTCAAAGAATCAATGAACTCAATCACTAGACGAGCAGCAACATCTACCAAATAATACATATATCCCAACATTACATATATATCCATATACCATATACTAAAGAATAAGGATGTTCCGTACAATTCTGAAATACCTACAATCAGTAGCTGAATGACTACAAATATAAAAAAGCCGAAGAAATGGCAACCACTTGGCAATTGATTTCGCTCTATCGAGTTTCATTCCTCCCGGCGAAAATCGACGTTGGAAGAATCAGAGGTAATCTCGCGAAAACGATAAAGCCGGACTGCAAAGAAGAAAGCGTCCTTTACTCACGACTCGCCCAGTTTCTCTTTAGTTAAGTAGATGCTCCGTATATACTGGAAAAAGCGTGAGAGACCGCAGTCCGGAATGCAAGTCCGTCCTCTGTAAAATTCTTCCAACGTTTATCGCTACAGAAACAAAAATAACACAACATATTAAAAACTGTAATTAATAATATTTCTGTGTTACCCCCTATCAGGACTTTACGCTGGATTTTTATTTCCGGCAATTCTGGACGGATCCACGGCTCGCGTTCAAGCAACGACAGGGCGTGGAGACGCTCAGCGTCGGTTCGGAATTCATAAAAAATATCTGGGTGCCGGACACGTTCTTTGTGAACGAAAAACAGTCATACTTTCACATCGCCACCACGAGCAACGAGTTCATCCGTATCCATCATTCAGGCAGTATCACACGTAGCATACGGTAAGTACAGTAAAGTCAACAGTGACAATAATTTAGATAATTATATAAAGTGTGTACCGAAGCAACTTACCAAGTCTATAATAACCACGAGTGAACGATAACTCCCAGGACGTGTCGCTTAGGCTGCATCCCTAAAGTATCGTTCAGCCGCCACATTGGCCATGGACACATGTCATGTAGGTTAGAATTCCACAGACAATGAGTTCGTCCCCACGACAATATCACGTCTCACAGGTGTTGTTACTTTCTCCTGTCTCTCTTGCTCTTTCACTATGGATACATCACCACACCCTTCCCATACTATCCCTTTATGCCCTTTTCCAAGCTCTCCAGAGTCTTCCTGTATTAACGCTCGAGCTATATTCAGAAGCCATGCATATCTAACTTACACGTTGACTGCTAGGCACTTTGGTTCGTAGCTACGCCGCTGTACGGCGCTGCGTTAGTTCGAGACTACAGGCGTTATGAGGCCTCTTCTGCTGTGTATATAGATATATATAGTGAAATATATAGATATATAGCGTCCATTGCACAATGAGTCTATCCTGTACTCCCGTGCCGTCCTACGCTCTATACCCACGGTATATTGCAAACTACCGTACTCTCAGGCTACCACTGCCCTTAACCATAACGTATCGCTCGAGAAGAGAGCGTCCATCCTAGCTAATATTGCGAGATACTCTGACTGCGGCTATGGCTCTAACTATACGAATACTGTTGGATTTCATAAGCTAAGGCGAGAGGACTAGGGATATATCATTCAATGAAAGCCGCGCAAGGACCCCGTGTTAGTTAAGTGCAGATAAAACAAAGGGACTGAATTCGTTCCAGTAAATATTAATAGTATCAACATTCCGTGGTGGATGCGTATTGGATAGTCAACTTTTCCTTTCAAAGGATACCATCGTGCAATTAGATAGTTTAATATGTCGACTAGTATGTATTTGTAAATTAATCTATATATATGGAATAGGGTACACGTGTATCTCTTCGCAGACCGCGATTATATCTCGTGTCTTTGGAAATCGCGATTTATTCCACTGTTGAGAATAACCAAGACGGGTATTCCGCCCTCGTACCTTTTTAAATATCTTTGATAATCCCGTAATGGCCTCCAATGAAATACGAATACTCGTCATTCTAGCGTATTCACAATGTAGGAGCAACTAACCGGCCAGGGCAACCAGTTCGCAGAGGCCGGCGATAATTTAATGTGAGATCGCAGACAGTGGCGAGGGGAGGAAAAGGGTGGCCAACAGTAACGGAGTAGAAGTTAGGTTAAGAATCGGAATAGTGAAAAAAAAAACAAATGGAAAGAGAAACGGCGGTTACGTGCGACGCCCTCATTAGCAGCGCCGCGACGACCGCAGCCCATTCTACCTTCAGACAGTTTATTTCCTTTTCTTTTTTCATGTTTCTTTCTTTTTGTGCCGACATCACAACTTGTTATCAAAACTCTATCGTGTCTACCACTTATCCCACTCCACCCGAAGATCATGCTCATCTCGCGATTGTCATTAATAAAATGTCTACGGCATCTATTGTCGGCACAGTCGTCGACCTGGTCCGGAAAATTGTGCAAGGACCTGATGGATGCTTTGGGGAGTCGTACGACTCAGATGTAACCAACGTTTCCGGCTCAGCTTTCTTCTCCAGGTCAAATCTCGACGGACCGTCAAGAAATCATCTCGAAGATTTTCCTTTCTTCAACGCAATTCATCAAAATCTCGATCCCCACGTCTCCCTTTACCCGCAATCTCCTCCTACCTACCTCTTCTCTACATCCATATACTCATCCAGCATCCTCATCCATTCAGACATCCTCCTCTCACTAACGGCTAACCCTTGCCCAGATGATGGATGTTGTGTGTTCTCGCATCATCTGTGGCAAAGCCCGTCGACCGGTTCTACGTTAACTATGCATGCCTCAATATTCTACTGAGTTCAGGCCGGAAACTGTTACTGGATGAATTCGTTTCTTCACCTCCACTAGAATATTATGAGGCCTTTGTGCTCAGCGTGGATGCTGGAAGTAATAGAAATACCTGCGATTGATTTTCGGTGTTTTTGAACAAAAATTCGAAGAAACGAAAAGAACAAGGGGAGATACGCGAATGATTAAATAATTTTTAACGTTACAAAAAGCTTGTGAAAATTTTTATTAAATTTTTTAAGACATTCACCTACCCTAACTGCTACTCATCGATATTACCCTTAAAAAAGAGGACGTTACGTGGACACGTAAGGAAGGCACTGATAAATTCCTTCAAAAGGGTGTATTTCAGTGCCGGTACAAAATTCTCTTCCTCTATTACGTACTACGTTCGAATGCGACTGAAATTTGCAACGCGGTACCTACGTTATTTCACCGCGTTATTATACCGAGTCAACAGCCCGATTTTAATTGCCGCCAACCCAAGACAACGAGGCTGCGGCTGGATAACGCTGACGCTTTATTTTTCTTTCACTTCAACCCCATGATCCGGGAACACTGAACTTAATTCCCATTCACGTCGAGTTGAAATCGAAGTCATCCCCTCTTGTGTTAGCTTCAATTCTATTCTCTCTTTTTGTCACCTTTCCCTCTTCCACTGTATACCTTCGTTGCTACTTCCTCTCTCTCGCTCTCGTTACGCGTCCTACCTTCTGCTTCTGGTCTACGTGAAAACATTTGAGTGGCATCAACGAACTGACTTGTTGGGTGAGAGGGGTTGGAAACCGCGTCAGAGACTCGACCTAGCACTAACTGACATTTAGCGACAAAGCAGAAGCGCCCGCAAATCGGTTGATTGGACCGTTCTCAGCCTCCTGTTCATTACTGATTTCAGAGCCGGGCAAAAGCACCGGTGTAAATAATAAACCGGAATCAAGACTGGCAACTCCTTGTCGCTAATCTTCAGAGTGGTTCTATGTTAAAATGACGTTTCAGAGATTAATACCTAAATATTACCTAAATATTGAACACTTTAGCAAGATGAATTAACGCGTTTGTTATTTAAAAGAAAATATAAAATTACTATATTATTACAACTTGATTACATTCGATTCGGAATGTACATAGCTTGATTATTACGCAAATATACACCTGCCGATTGGTCAGCTAATTAATAAGCCGCAAAGTTGTTTTTCGCACTTTTCATCGAGGTATATGTATATTCAACTTTTGAACCTTCAGTGCATACTGCATCCGACCCTCATCAAATACTGGACATCATATGCATTATGCAAGATTAAATTATATTCGGATACTCGTGATACCACGAACACGTATTACCCACCCATACATATACTCCTCATTAACAACTCTCTCTGATTTATTTACCCTCGAGTATATAATCGTTAAAACACGCTCGCACGATCGATCGCCATTTTATAGTACTAAAAATTCACGAGTCTGAAAATTCCACATGTTACTACCAGTGATACGCGTTAATTCCTATATTCAAGTATATATATCAAGTATACAAATAAATTTTTTCAAATTTCTATATATACCATTTACATCCCAATGTATAATATATACTGCATAATAATATATCGTTTTATCGTTTGTTTCAGCTTAACCATCACGGCATCCTGTCCAATGAATTTGCAATACTTTCCAATGGATCGACAGCTCTGCCGTATTGAGATTGAGAGTTGTAAGTAACACACTGAATTTACGAGCGAGACATGCAGTTCTCTGCAGTCTCGCCACGTGAAACTTTCTGCGAGCACAAAGTTATATCAAGTCGTACGTCGATACGTATAAGGGAAGTTATATAAATAAAAAAAGTGAGGAATCCACAAAAGGCAGTCATCCCGGCACACTAAATGCCATCTCTCGCTTTCGGACAAGCAGTTAAGCTTCGAGAATATTAACCGATCGATTTCAGATTGATCGAGAGGACAATTACTACCGGTACGTTACCGCGAGGTAACGAGATCCGCTCGGTTCGCACTAGGTATTACCTAGTGCACAGACGGCACCCTGTAATTCGAACGATTTCGATTTATCGAAGATCGATACCGTACACAGTTTACCCTCCATTAAAGCTCATTTATCTCTTCGGCAATAAAACAGTCTGCCTGCGGTAATCTCTCAAATTATTGGCGGACATGTTGTGCGCCGCAGTCCGCGCCGGGGCAAATTATTGAATTAAGCATAAGCCGTACGGGCGATTGAACGAGATCTAATCAAAATACTGTTGCAGTTTACCTGCTTGCGGTACGTAAACTGTAACCAATTAGTATGGTAGGTCAGGGAATTACATTAATTTTGCACATCCGATATACCTATATGACAGTTAATCACTGTTTACATAGCTGTTGTTACCGGTACCGATGTCTTTGTAATATTAAGGACAATGCTTTTTCGATCGGACTGTATTAATTAACTTTTTATCGGAGAATTTGTATGATTATTATGTTGACTAACGGACGTTTTCAGTTTTTTAGTAATGACGTCACTCATTACGATATACACTGATCCACTTGGTGTGCGGGATGACTGCCTGTTTCGTGAGGATTGTCTATAGGCGCGTTCGCAAATTTAATAATTATGTGTCACGCATGGCACTGGAGTTACGTGAACGATAAAAGGTACGGGCCTTATAAACCAATTATTTAATTGTCTGCCGTAATGGATACAGCCGTTTGGGCGTGAGCAAGTACGCGCGACGTTTATTTTCGTGGGGATGCGGCAGCGATACTGCTGCTACTGACACTGTTTCTATATTGCGTTAGATCGGACTTGTCGATCGGGGGAAAAGTGTATATTGACGTCTGGACTGCGTCAAAGCATTCGTCGTGAACGGAGATCGAACTGACGTCCATTTTTCCGAACAGGTTTATCTTTTTGGCCCTTGGCGATTCGATCTGCTTTGATAATTCGGTCAATTCGCAAATTTTCATCAAACGATTGCATGCAGTCGGGTTAGTTGATGCAAAATTCACGTTTGACTAACGAATACGGAGTTTTGTGGCATGCACCAAAATTCACACTTGAACTAATGCTGCAGTCCGGGTATAACGTACGAATTGGAGAAAAAACGAAAAATTTAATCCAGTCTCAAAATTTGTACTGGGATTAATGTTACGATGGATCGAACCCCCATTGGCATATCGAGATTATTGTTTTTTAGTTTATACGTACTGTTTTCGCGACGCTTTTCAGATGACCAATGCCAAGAAATTCAGAAGCATATTTATCTCAAGTATACAAAAAAAAAACGTTAATGCGTTATTTTTTTGGTTTTCAATATAAATTTTTCCTTGAACCTTTCGTATTTTTCGAACTTCCCATTTCCCATGTATATAACATCTTGTATTTGCCTTTGAATTCTCTCCCGTCATTCTCTGTACTCTCTAATTCCCTCTCATGTCTTACTCTCACAATCTATCTCCCTCTCCCACCCCTCTCTCTCTCTCTATCTCTCTTTCTCTCTGCCTATCCTGTCTTTCATACGGCGATCATAACTACTTGAGCACAGTGTGCAGCTAAAAGCACCCAACATGCTTTCTCGTGAAGCGTCATCCAAAGCGTGACGATATAGAAACGCGTCACGAGTAACACGTGACGGAACTCGTGGCGTGGTGCAATTACGCAAAAAAAAAGTACACGTAACAACACGAGAGGCAGCGCAAAGGATCACAATGCCAGGCAACGTTAAAAGATTTCAAAATGCCGTAGCGTTGCGCACTGTCTGATTATACATATAGAAACCGCTACGTCTGACCATTACGTCTCCTAACTACTTTCAGCGCGCTGAGTCCACGTGCGCTCATTCGCAAGTTCCAGGAGTTATTGCAAATTGACCATATAAGTTATTGATTCGCAGAAACCACCCTTGAGGCATGTTCGCGATATCTCTTCGAAATAGTATATGTAAAGCTTGGAGAGGGAAATTATATGTATAATTGATGAGAATTCAGGAGATTCCACAGTAACGTGAAATACTTGCAAGTAGTTATATCTGTAGGATTAGTGTGCAATTACGAGTGATGCTTATGGGAATTGATCAGAGGATATTAAATTTTTGAAAAATAATAAATAAAGGTAATGTTAAGTAAAAATACCGTGACAAAAAATATATATTTTAAACAGAAAATTTCAGGCGCGGAATATTACATACAGAGGTATGAAGTGGGACTAGGTCATTTTTATGGCGGATGGGATGAACATTTCTTTGTCGGAAAACATTGAACTACCCTCTGGAAATGCTGAATAGAGTGGATACGTCCGTTCTGGGTCAGCCTTCAGCTTGATTTAAAAAAAGGGTACTAGACTCGCTAAGCAGGAAGCTGAAACCTTTAGGACTTACCATTACGAAATAAAAGTGATCCTTGTATACGTATGATGACTCTCGAATAATTCGACAAGGAGTGACGCTTTTACACGTCATCAGGAAAAATATCACAGAATTTAAAATCCTATCTGTTGAAGTGTAACAAGTCTTGCTTGAACCAAACACGTCATTTACATACACACGTCATGAAAGGTGGTTTTGAAGGAATTCATTAAAACTTAAAAAAAAGTTAGAGTATCTAGGAAAATGTTGAAAGGGTGGCAGAATCCACCCTCTTCAGTGTGAATTACACTCAGGGTGAGCCAACAGAAGACAAAATAATAATACGCGGTTTGTCTTTCCAAATTTGCAGTAACTTCAGGGCCTTGAAGCGCGAAAGTAGTATACGGTCCGCAAGGTATTAGCATTGCTGCCAACATACGTCGGTCTGTAGATAAAAAAGTAATGTTCACTTATACGCTTACCAATCCGATATTACGACAAAAAATTTCTTATGCAATACGATCGTAATTGGATCCATAAGATCCTTGTGTGTCTTAATCGCTCTAGATCGTTCTCCGTATATATATACATATATAAGGTAGATGGCCCAGTCGTCAGCCATATACCAGTAATCGTCTGTATGCTATATTGTAATACTGTAGATTTTGCTATAGTCAAAGCACACACTGGCGATTACTAGCACATGGCCGATGGTTGGGTCGTCCACCCTATAGATATAAGTTGTACTTTGTTCAAGTAAAAAGTTAACATATATGAATTTAAAGGGCGAAAATACTTGATGAAATTAGAGCATAAAGAAATTGTTTTATATATGTACCGGGTGTATTAGGTTGGCAGCAATGCAAAGGACGGTGATCGTTCCTCCAGGAAATATGAGGAGAGATTACGTGCTCACGTTGAAAACTATCTGACTGCGTGCGTTATTACAGCAACGTCTAAAGTTGATATAGCTGCAATGTATAAAAGACCGCTTTACGATATACGTGGGCGTAATTGAAAAAAGCCGTCAAGTTGTTCGAACGTTTTGTTCGTATTTTTTTTGTATTTCTTCTCCTTCTCGCTTTATATTGCCACCCTTGGTTCTCTCTTTTCATTATCGGGAAAACTTGTTGGAAAATGCGAATCGGCCACGGTCTTATGACCGTAGTTGACTCTTTACGATGGGAATTATTGCCTCGTGTAATTACGGCTTTAGCCTATATATCATTGAAGGGAACGACCGGCTACTTCGTTCTCTTGTAAACCAAACTTACGGTAGCGTACAGCGTGATTAATGGTAAATTCTTGGCTGTGATTCTTATACTTTTGTTAAGACTTTGCGACTTTGATAATTTTATTATTTATTAATGACGTTACGACTTTTCCATTTTACACGCGATTAACGCGAGTTTTGATAACGCAAGTATGAGGATCTTAGTGTTTGAGACAATTTGAAAATATTTAAGTCAAGTTTTCATTGGTCATGTTTCCTGGTTTATCAACAATGTTTTATTTTATTATAGAAAAAGGATGTGTACGATAATTGCAACCTCCGATGGGTCTCCACTCAGTATTACCGCATATCACGCTGGTGATGATTTCGTTCCCATGGCTTTTTCTGCAAACAACAAAAAATTGTTGATTTTCAAACGAAAATATAATATCGACCAATTTTTTAAGAAAATATTGTCACATGTCAACAGAAAGTCATATGAATATATTCATTCGCGAAGAAAAAATTGTCCAATGATCTATTGTAATATGTACTTATATGATATACATATATGAGGATTGAAAGTCATCAGAAATTAGTATGGAACAAAATCACTCCAGAGTGTAAAACACGTTCGACCGACCGTGTGTATATGAAATAATTATTTTTCGCCAATTAAACTATTTTAATTTGCCATCCGACACCACCTGAAGGCCTCCGACATATAGCACTGAGCCTCGTGTCCGGGGACGTAGGCCGAGGACGGCCAGCCCTGAGGAGGCTACGCAAGCCAATATCGACAAAGGTCGAACCGAATTCTGACGCATTGTGCATCTAGCCCAGCGCATGCGTTAAATTTCATCTTTTACCTTACTACAAGATACTATAATGTGTAGTAGACTAGAGCGTCGTACTTTCATAATAATCGGCATGCCGTAGCATGGACATACAGTACGCCTACCAAGAACAAGTATCAAAGCGGCCACATACAAAAAGCTCAGTAATTTTTTAAAAATTACACTACTTTTGTTGATCTATAGTACAGTAAGGAAGAACGATTTATAATAAATTTTCAAAAAAATTATAAAAATAAAAAATTTTACGGACGTTACAAGTTATAATAGTTCACATAAATTTTAAAGTTTTCATGCAATAAAATACGCGTACTATTCGCATTCTGTATGAGATTGAACAAAATTTTGTTGCTCGAACAGATTTTCGAGTTACACCAACTTTTACCGCGAATCCGTAAAACTGTCGACCCTCGTTGCTCTCTTCACAAGTTCTTCGTCCTCTATTAGCTCTGCCGTCACTAGCTGCAATACCCTTAGGATCACGAAAAGTCATATCACTGGCTTCCGAGAAAATCTACTACCAATGTGGAATACTAACGTGCTGAAACATATTAATACTTGCATGAGGCTACAATATCATGCATGTGGCACGAAAGTACATAATTAGTAATATATACATACATATAACACATACCTTACGATATATAGACCCCAAGATAAAGTACCAAGACGAACATATAAATGATATACTTAAATCAAAGTTAAAATCTGCAAGTATGAAAAATAAAATTTCTTTCTTTTTACACAGGGGTGAAATCTTTCCCAGGTAAATCTTCATTAAAACCGTCTATAAAAAATACCGTCTCATCAACC